AACAAGAAACAAAAGCCCTACAAGCCAAATGGATTATCAAACTACTGACCAAACCTGAATCAGCATGGAACAAACTGGTCTTGGATAGCATAAGGGGTTTAGCCCCAACTGCGACACCAGGGAACATGTCCGGTTTATTTTGGGTAATGAATAAGGAATGGATCCCAAAAACAGGTCGTAGAAATCAAAGAAGAGGAGCTCGTCCAACTCAAGCCAGGCTCCCACATCCTATTGGGCAGCCTTGCTTCAGATATGGCGGGAAATTATGCCGAAGAAGGTAGGTAAACCCAGATCCAAAGAGGAGGTACTGAGGCAACTGCTATTCGGCAACCCTTGGGTGAGAGATGAAAACGATCACTCGCTCTCCCTCAAACCAAGGGGTATGCGATAGCTGTCATGGATAAAGCATGGAATCTGGAGAGTGAGCCATATATGGGACGAAGAAAAAAAAGATTGGCTGACCAATCAGGAACTTACCACCAGCCTTAAAGGATGCCACCGGCGGGAGGAGAATTTGCAAACTATCATCAAATGCATTCCAGAAGACTGGAAGGAGCTGCTGGGTGAAGCATCGACTTGGAAAACTGGGGAATGGGGAGTCAAGATACAGGAATTGTCCCCCTCAAGAGCCTACCAATTTTCTCACAAACAGCAGGGATCAGATACCCTGGCTGTCTTTACCTCCTTCCCAATCGCGTCATCACTTCACGACTCTTCATCCATTCTGAATACGGACGTGGAAAGAACAGTCTTAGATTTGTTTATTCTCAGGCAAGTAAGAGTTCTAGGGACATGGCCCAAAACAATCTTCAGGATGGATATGGCGATTCAAGACTTGGAATTCGACCCGGCAGAATGGACTTGGACACCAAACAGAAGCAGAAGTCTCAAAACGAACATCCACATTCAGGAATACACAGTCAAACTGGGATATGAACTACTCCTCAAGACAAAGGATCCTGACCCAACAATTAAAAACAGACGGCGGAAGTTAATAGGTCAGGACTCCAGCCAGATCTCACAAATACCATGGAAAAAGTTCAAGTCAATCCGACCAGTCAAAATCAGAAGCCTACAGTGGCTCATCTCGTACGTGGCTCTACCGGTCAACCAGTGGTTATATATCAGAAGAAGTAAGAACGATCCTAACAGCTCAGATTTATGCGTGGTATGTTCAAAAAATGAACCAGAATATATGCTACACTGCCTAATACGTTGTACAGAGGCTACGTAATACTGGGCTAGAGCTTCGGACCTCTGGGATTCCCTCTTCTCGACTCCCCTCCCTGAACACCCCATCCAACTCCTATGGACTAACATTCCAGCCCAATTCCACAAAACAGAGAAGACGTGGTTTGGTATGATCAGAAAGGTAACACTGTGGTCCATCTGGAAGGAAGGTTGCTGCAGAACCATCGAGGGACTTGCTACTCCAAGAGAGAAGGTATGGGTGGAGACAAAATTTTTGATCCAGGCAGAGATTCTTTGCAAGTGGCATAAGACGCGACACTCCATGCCAGATGACGAAGAGCAACAGAAGAGAATTATGGATAAATTTACCAAGGTGTGGCTCGCAGGGGGCAAAGTAGCAGAGATCAATGACTTTCGCATACGGTGGAAAGACTGGCACAACTCAGAAGCAAGGTGGAGTGGGCAGAGATCCCACCCGACAGATGGACAAGAGCCTTCACAGGCCACGTAATCTGGAAGGGGGAATTCCGAAATTTGTACCTTCGGTAGCTTCTAGTACCTTTCTCGCTCTTTATGTTTTATCTGGCAGGCTCACTTACTGGACCTGAGAGGAAAGGTGGAAGTAAGGCAAGCTGACAGTCAATCCTCCACAATGCTGGTCAGGGTTCCTTCGGCCAGACCGAAGGAAGCGTGTGTGTGCTTCATGATGTAATACTTTGATCTGACTTGCCGGTGGAATAGGAACCGGACTGACGCTCCCCAGAATGGAAATGGAGCCAGGCCCAAAAAAAAAAAAGGAAGCTGACATTATGGGTGATCTGGAAGAGAAGATGCACCTGCACGATCGAAGGCATAGAGGTAGCCAATGAGGAAATGTGGGCGACACTAGTCAAAATGGTGGAAACAGAAATCTGATCCAGATGGCGCAAGGTCATCGCAGCATCAAGAAGACTCCCCGAGAGCTCTCCAATCAAGAGGACACCATTCCACAAGGATTGGCTGATAAGAGGCAAAATAGCAAGCATAGCGCACAGTCGCCTGATATGGAAGAAATGGCACCGGCTACCGACCCCGAGCGGACAATAACCTGGGTCAGTAAACGGCCCTCTCTGAGGACTTTTGCTAACCCAGCAGGCCCTACGGCAGCAAAGCCACAGTCATTTTCCAGAGCATGGTTGTTTCATTCGACAGACCCCAAGGGGGCATCTGAGAGGAAAGTAGACTAGGGCAAGCTGACAGTCAATGCTCCTTTGTTGGGAGTAATCAATGCTGATCAGGGTTCCTTCGGCCAGACGGAAGGAAGCATGTGTGGGCCATTCATGTATTCCATATTACCACTTGCCGGTGGATAAGGAACCGAACTGACGCTCCCCAGAATGGACATGGAGCCAGGACCATATTGAGGACCTGTTAAAAAAAAAAAGAAAAAAAAAAAAGAAAAAAAAAAAAAAATTAAAAAAAAAAAAAAAAAAAAAAAAAAAAAAAAATAAAAAAAAAAAAAAAAAAAAAAAAAAAAAAAAAAGAAGAAAAAAAAGAAGAAGTAGCAAAACGCTGAAGTAGCTGGCCATACTGATTCACAGGAGTTGTCAGGTAGATGATGCGACTGCCACAGCCAGTGGAGATGGTCCCAAGGGACCTGCAGATGCAGCAAAAAGAGTAATGACTCAAAATGGGCATCTGCATCAGCAATGTATCTATATCTATATATCAGGTTCTGGGGGTAAAGGAGATGAAACAATATCAAAGCTTGAAAAAAGCATCTCTCAAGGCAAGGACTGCCTGTAAAACAGACCAAACGTAGACTCAATGTCATCTGACTGATGACAAGCTTAGGAGAAGTGGAGGATGCAATGCAAGGAAATGGAACATGTCGACACCAGGGCTAATCAGGATCCCAGAATGAGCTAACATGCAGAACGGCTTTCATGAGAACAAGGCTAACTGAACTCATACTGAGACAATCCAAACTTCAACCCCAGCACAATGTCGTGTTGGTCAATAAAACCAAACTGAAGCAAAGTCGCAAAATTATTTCTATGTGGACATTGTGGAGCCCTCTCTCCTTGTCGCTGCCATAGGTGAATCGAAGCTTGAGTGCGACTCTCAATCTGCGGGAGCAGCACCCCTTACCTCTACGTGTTTGTGCGCTGATCCTTCTCTCCTTGTCTCTGCCACAAGTGAAGGGAAGCTTGAGTCTGTTTTCTCGATCCGAGGGACTGTCACCCTTCACCTCTACGTGTGTCATCCATGGGCTAAACAGACTCCTTAGGAGGTTTTGCTCTCAAAGGACGACCTCAGCTTTTCCACTCAGCAAATACTTTGCAGTCATACGCAACTACCACAGCATCTACCTGTGTCTAGTTTCTAGAACGGTTGCCAGACCTTAGCACTCTCCTGAAATCTCAAAGCATTTTCACATTTTTCTTTCCCATAGTCCCACTGAATGGATTTCACTGTCGTTTCCCACACACGTACCTGGATTGGGTCAGCGTTGTAGATATCATAAACTACCAGATGGATGCTCTTGTCAAATGTAGTCGCTGTTCACAATCCGACAGTGGTGCTTTCCCCACAATCATTCTGTACAATGTGGCCAAATTGTGTGAGACTTCTTCAGGTCACTTGCTGAGGAGCCAGTGGGGCCAACTTTTTTCTCTTTTGCTTCAATGAAACTGCATGAGGCTGGATTCACCCAGGCAATCTTGGGAATCGAAATTGAGCCAATCCGAAAGTTTCAGAGGCACAGGACTACCAGACCAAAATGGCTGGCGGCGCCAGCCAAAAGGGAAAAAAAAAAAAAACGTGCTGGTGTTTCAAGTTTTCAACAAAGCTTCGAGGGAACGGGTATTCCGCCTCGGCAAAAAAAAGCTCGAATGTACTGGTGGTTTAAACGAACCAATTGGCTCGCTGTGGTGTCTTGCACAGGGGGGGTTGGGGCACCTGATGCCGAATCCAGAGGTCTCGACAGGCACATCTAGATTGGCAGCGTTGTAGCCCAGTGCCGAAGACGATTTGGAAATGCTACTCACCAAAGCCTACTAGAATATGTCAAGGCGTACTGATGATTGGTGCTCTCAAAGCTTGTCATAGGGTCGTAATCCCTCCGTTTATCACAGGGGAGGTTATGTCGCAGGCTGGTAGAGAAGGGATGCATAGCTTGTCCCCTAGGAGTTTTCCCTTTGTTCAGGTGAAAACATACCCCGGGTCACATATGGCAATAAAAGGGGAGTTGAAGTCTTCTTTTTTCCATATCTTCCCTGTATGCCAGGTTTTCTTCTTCCATACAATACATGATGTGTCCTTCCCAGCTAAATTTCATCAACAAAATTTCAAGTAGAATTTCACCCCTGCTCCATTCCTTTCAAAATTCAAACAACAGGAATCTCAATGAAATGGTCAGTACTGACTCAGTAGTCTATTGTGAGGTATGGAAGGAAGGGAGCTTAAGCTTGCTCCACGTATTTGTCAGGCTGACAGGCTTGCTTGCAAGAGAGAGGGGAGGGTGGGGACTGGGGAGGTGGGTACGATGGCATGCGAGTCCTCATTTTATAGGATGCGATGTGATTTATCATGCGCATCTGTGGGTGCTTCACCCGTTCCTCAAGCTGACAGGCTTGCTTGCAAGGTAGATGGGGCCCATCATGGGGGAGGGCGGGGACAGGGGAGGTACGTATGATCGCATGCCGGTCGTCGTTGTGTAGGATGTGATGTGATTTGTCATGCGCACCTGTGGATGCTTTTGACATTTTATGTGGGAGGCAACAATAGTAGACAAGAAACAAGAGGAAAGTTTGAATAGGCAAACGCACCTGAACTGGAAGCAGTTGGGGTCCCCACTTCTATCACTGAGTAGGTTGCAAAATCACTGAACACAAGAAGGCGCTGCGTGACAAGAGCTTTCATTTTCTGAAGATCAGGGAAATCGAAGAACTTTTCGCCGGCAGGGGGGCTAACTTCTACTCTTACATAAATGCTTCCTGCGGTGAAGTTGAACGTAACCTGGAGACAAATGAGAGTTGAAAAGGTGATCGACAATAACAAAACAAACCAAATGCTATGTCAATTTGGCAGGTGATGAAGAAGGGGGAAAGTAGCTCCAAGGCAGGAAGACTAATGACCATAGCCCATACACAATGTACTTTGCTGCTGTTTCCAAGGGACGCTGGACCCGGTTTCCAGCAGGTGTTGCTCCCCACCAATAGATGGAGCAGCCCAATAGCCAAGGCCTCAATCCCGGCGGTTCTCTTACCACCGCCAGGATAGTGGACTTGTGAAAGGGCTTCCCCCCCCCCAAAAAAAAAAAAAAAAAAAACAAAAAACAAAGAGAAGGGGGGAAAAGACCAGTCAACGTGCTGGGCACTCACAGCACAAAATTCCTAAAACAAAGAAAATATTTAAAAAGTAAAAATCTGGAAAAGAACTTAAAAAAAAGTGTGTTGTGTGATATTGCAATATCAACAAGCCTTTGCTGCAGGTGACCTCCAAATTCCTCATTGATTTCAAGATCAGAAATCTTAAGAAAAAAGAAGTTAAACCGCCACTGCCTTTCACAGGCGAACTTGAAACACTAATTTGCCACAAACCGCATTCTTCGCGTAAACAGAGCTACCGGACCAAAATGGCAGAAAGAGGCCTGGAGGTAGTGGTGGTTTAAGATGCACCCCTCTAAGACCCCTTCAAGTGGCCCATGGGTGACCCATCACCAGATTGAAAGATAATGCTGGATTCCGGCGGTAGTGGTGGTTTAAGATGCACCCCTCTAAGACCCCTTTAAACCCTGTTTATCCTCGAGTGCCCCATGGGTGACCAATCACCAGATTGAAAGATAAGGCTGGATTTCGGCGGTACAGGCCAAACTCAAGCCTCATGAGCAGTCTTTTTTTTTTGCCCCTCTTTAATTTAAATAGGTCTGTATGGTCCTGGCTCCATCTCCATTCTGTGGAGTATCAGTCTGGCTCCTTCCACCAGCATGTAAGGTCTTGCTCTGTTACCAATAGCTATCATCCTGGTCAGCCCTCAATGCAAAAGCTCACAAAGAGACAATGCCATTCCATTTGAACTCAAATGAAAGAGGTTGGAAGAAGAATTGAGACAAGGGAGGAAGGAGAACGAAGAATCGAAGAAGAAGAAGAAAATAAAACTCAAGTGGAGACCAATGTCACCGCTCCCTCATCTCGCCTCCATCACGTCCCTCTCGTCATCTCCTCCATCATCTTATCATCAATAAAAATGAACAACACTGAATGAAACAGCCAGAATCAATGTCCGATTACTCCCCCTTACTGCCAGAACACAAAGAGCCCTCCTTTCGGCCATAACCTTACTCTCCTTCACTTGGTTGCATTCCTGGCTATGGCGGATCATCCATATGCATCATGGATGTTCAAAGGACAACGTAAACTCGACTATCCCTCTCCCATGTCTCTCTGCCATAGCGACACTCTTGATGAAGTCCCAGCTCAACCGGTACCCACACAGGGGGGCTTCTAGATGCAGCACCAACCAAGGAAGTAGAGATGCAGGTCTGCCATAGCCAAAGGTGAGTTTCCATTCCAGTTCCCACCACCATCGTCCTCCTCCTACCTCTGTTGTTCCACCATACCCAGCTAGACGTCCGTCACCCTCACCTCCATAGCCTAGGCCTATCTCTACCACCTCCCTACTACTACTCCATTGCCATGTTCACCATCACCCCCCAGCTCCACCTTCTCCTCCAGGTGCTCCCCCAACATCCCCCTCTTGGCAGAGCAGCATATGTTCACTAGAAGAATGAACCGAAGTGCCCCACTCTCCTCAGTGCACCTATTCATACCTACTGGCCTGGCACATCCCAATACTTCCCGGCTGCACTCAGATGCACTAGGGCAACCGAGGGTTCGTGCTTTTTGCCAGAAATGTCATTTCAACCTGCAACTCGCCCTCAGGGCGTGTATCTAGGCTAACACCCTTACTAGGTACGGACCTGAACACTTTACTCTTATTGGCCGCCACTGGGCAACCCACTAAGCCTACTGGGTTGCAGGGCCTACCCAGCGAGTTGCTGGAAAATCCTACCGGGTCCCTGGACAATTCTACTTTTGTCCCTGGACGCTAAACTACCTCCCAGCATACCCTACCAATAATTCCCGTCCTGCCCAGCCACACACATACAGCCGACAGAGTTAGCACACCGACCCAGACTTGAACCCAGGCAAGCACATGGTAGATGGGCATAGTAGTAGGTCACACATACACACCCTGACATGGCATGTCCTATTTGTAGACAGGGGCTGGAATGGCAATGACTATAGAATTGCGGTCGGCGTGCCTCTGTGTTCCTAGCATGTAAGAGACACGTATGTGATCTGTCTATGCTGTGCCATCCGATGCAGCCATTGCAACTGCAAGAATTGGATGTGGTGCTTCCACAGTCCATACCCATACCTGAACTGATCCTGTCCGGCCTGTAGGGGTGAATCTCCCCGCAACCGAAACATCGACCAACCTCTTGTGCCGTTCTAGAGTAGTCTGCTTCAGCAGTTAGTATTGAGAACCCTGTGAAGTTCATCTTTCCTCTGTTCTATTCCTTGTCCCTCCACTTCCCTCGTCTTCTCCTTCTCCCTCCCCCACCCCTGGCCTCCTGTAGAACTCCAACCCCCCTACCCCTTTCCTTCCTCCGTCCTCTTGTGTACTGCTAGTAAATGCATACAAATGAACATCATTAAGAGAGCAGACAAAACTTAAACTGGAGATATGAGGAAAAATGAACAGGAGTATACCTCCCCCTTTACTCTGCCTCCTTTCATAGCATGCAAGTGGGCCGTTAGGCAACATGGGGTTATGGGCAGCTTGTGCTCAACCACAATCAGCGTGGCAAGCCTTCTACGATGGAGGCCCAGTAAAAGGGAAGCTGCAAGAACAAATTAAAGGGGTACTCCAAAGGAAACCAAAGTAAAGATAGCGAAGACAGAACTAGAAGGAAAAGGCAATATATTGACCGCAAAGTAGATGAGGGTGAACTTAGAACCGGCAGGAGGGGGAGACCGAGTTAACAGCTTAGAGTCAGATGGCAATACCGAGGCCCAGAAGAGGATAGACGGTTCCCTAAAGAGCAACTTCATGAGACTGAATGTTGCCAAAATCCTATAGCCGTTTAGGCATTGCTGATTTCACCAGGCGGCATTAGCCCAAAGAACTAAGTTTTTCTCGGAGAACCTCAAAATGAGGCTGTCCGGAATGAAAGGATTCATGTTCCTCAGCAGCCTGCCCATGGAACCGCATTATTGCATCCAATTTTTTTTTGTATCATAGGGCCACACTTAGAACTTTCCCATAGATACTATGGTAGACCAAATAGAGATGCGATAGTGTAATGACCAGGAACAGCAGATGTCCCTAGCAGTCGGTCAATACGGAGCCCCTGCGTGTCCAGTCCCTCCGTCCCCAGGGAAGGCCCATGAAAGCCCGAATCTTTGTCGGCTGTGGCAGGGCCTGACAGGTATGGCCATGAGCCATGTGAGAGGCGTCCCGCACAGAATAAAGGCTGCCTGGCAGTCAGGATCTGCCTCTATCTTCGATTCAGCTCATGTGGAAGCACTGCAGCATTATTCAGCACCAAGATACTGGCCAGATGAGCAGTGCATGGTGAGCAAGTAGTTGACAGCACAGGGCTCCATAACTGCCAAGTAAGAACGCCGAGAGAGAGAGAGAGGAGAGGGCAAGGACATTCAGAGAGAGACCGTGAGATGAGCGCAGCAGTAGGAGTAGGAGTAAGGCGAGCGCGTGCGCGTGACACACACACACACACACACACACACACACAGAGAGAGAGAGAGAGAGAGAGAGAGAGAGAGAGAGAGAGAGAGAGAGAGAGAGAGAGAGAG